GCTAAGGGGCTTCTGTACTTCTAAGGAATGGGAAAATCATGTTGCCCTTCACAAGACATCCTAAATTCTGTGGATGTACTAAATTCTGTGTTGTACTAATATGGATTTCTCAAGCTCCTGATATCAAACAGATGGCTACTAGAGATGGGGAGCTTAGAGTACTTGGCCACCACCTCCAGCAGGTACAGTTTCTTTCTGGCCAGCCTGATTGGGATCACAGAGAAATGAGTAAATGGTGTGGCTACTCTCCAGGCAAAGCAGACACAGACACACAACACACACATAAAACCTAAGTTTGACCACATTGGGGAATGAAAAATAAGACCCAAGCCTTCGGAGACACAGAATGCTGAGAAATGGTCACTTGAGGGACCAAAGAGGACACAATTCTTCAGGTTTGAGATGAGCCAGTTCTTTTCTTTTTCATCAGTACTGGGGATGGAACTCACAATGCACACTTACAAGGCAGGCACTTATGCCGCTGAGCTAAATCCCTAGCCCTTTTCTTTTTTTGGTACAAGGAATTGAACTCATGAGCTCGTACATGCCAGTTAAGTGTTGTGCCACTGAATTATATTCTGGGCCCAAGCTAATTCTTTTCTGAAGAGCCATCACTACCCAAATTTCTTTCTTTTTCCAAATGACTGCCTCTTTGAAGACTTAATTCAGCCAACAATTCACTGGAACCTCTAGATCAGTGGTGGCAAACCTATGGCATACATGCCACAGTGGGCTGTTAGCACTGAAAGCTCCAAAATGTTCACCATCACCACCCTACATCATTCACCTGATAGTGTAGGGAGCCACTAAAGCTGGAGATTGATTACATGTTGGGGACTAAAGCAAGACCAGCCCTGAAAACACAGAGCCCAAAGCAAACCAGATAAACAAGCTGTTCCAGCACCAAGAATACAAGGGGCCCAGGCCAACCAGGCAAACAAGTTGCTAGGCAGAGAGGTTGAAATTGACATTTTTCTTTGGAATGTATAGAGTATATAAATAAATGTGCTACAGTGGTTAAGCAGTTCCTTCTTTTCTATCAGGAGAGTAAGGGCTCCACTTGATCCTAGCTTTGTCTCTTTATTTTCTCATCCTCTCACCTTCCTTCCCCTGGAACATCTAGAGCTGCAGCCAGCTGGTCACTATATATAGTCCTTACCCTCAGGAAGCTACAGATCTACCTAGGAAACCAAGTCACCCTTGAGAAGAATTTTACAAAATATACCAAGGTACTCCAGTTCCAAGAATGGTTAAGTGTGTAAGGTAGGAATGGGATGGTTTCTGGGCCTTGCAGGAAAATGGACAAGAAATTCCAGGTTCAGGGCATTAGTCACTCATAGCAGAGAAATTTGAAAGTTGTACTCAAGGGCCCAGTTTCCTAGCCAGACCTGTAGCTCCCTAGGATCACAGAAAGTGTTTGAGGGTAGTTTCCCCATAACATATGGTAGTTACTGAAATACCTGGGCTGAGAGAATAGACACCGCAGCTTGTCTGACACTCCTGGACCAAAGTTCCCCATCTTGAGCTATACCTCCAGTCACCAAACAGAATGGCTGAAAGAGTGTTTCAGGTTTTTCTCTTCTTTTTAAATCTTGACCTGTTGGCAGGTCTTCCTAATTCTGTTTCAAAAAGTGCTCAGAACCACCTATTTCATCTGATGGTCAAGGCTTAAAGGAAAAGTCTGGGCTTAGCCTTGTGTCCTAGACCTACCACAGTTCACTCCAGCTCCACCACACTTTACCTTACACTTTTCCAAACTAACTGTACATGTCTGGTGAATAAATGAGTCCATGACGTTGGGGGGTTAACTTTAGTGGACTTCCTATGCTATTCCTAATGTCCATTATCCAAAATCCCCAGCTCAGAACACTATCCATAGATAAGATTTCACCAGCTTCCTCCTGGAAGTGCCTTTGTTTGTTGGGAAAAAAAAAAAAAAAAAAAAAAAAAACCAGCAAAAAAACATCATGTCTTGAATCATTATTAATTCCATGGGGCCAATAGTCACAGTGGGGCTGGAAAAGCCCACATTTACTTTGTCCTCTCTCCCTTTGACTCCCACTGTTTGAGGAGAGTATGGTATACGGCCCTGCTTTGCCATTATTTGGCAACCTCAAGCAAGTCACTTAGAAACTGCTGTTTCAGGGGCTGGGGATTTAGCTCAGTGGCATAAGCACCTGCCTTGAAAGCAGGCGGTCGTGAGTTTGATCCCCGGTACCAATAAAAAAAAAAAGAAACTCTGCTGTTTCATTAGATGTGTTAATTGTGCCTGTGCTATTCCTTAAATGACAAGTGAGAAATGGACCAATAGGAACCATACATATATATACACATACACACCCACACTACTCATAAATCTCATTCCTTCCATTTTCCCAATTGGCAAGGCTGTTGTACTTAATGTCAGATGGAACTGTGACAATTATCCCCTGAAGGAATAGGGGTTAGAATTCTCAAATATCACTCAAGGTAATCTTTGCATTCTTCTCTTCCCACTTCTATTACTCTATCTATCCTTCTCTTCATCTTGCAAGAAAAACCCAGACCCTGCAACTAGACATGAATTGAGACTGAATTAACATTTACTGACCATACATTATGTATCAGGTATATTCACAGCTTTTACTGAATCCTTGTGACATCTTGCAGTACGAATTGACAATGATGGATCTCTGAATGGACAGGCCAAACAGTACCAACAAATCAGGAATATAGAAAAGATGACAAGAAATGTTTTCTGGGAAAACAAAAAACATATTACAACTGGCTTTTGTATGTTCTCAGACTTCTTTATCCTGTGTTGGATGGTTTTATATTATTTTGTCTAACATCAGGGAATCCTCATCTTTTCAGTGCTTACTGTGGATACAAGTCTTCTTTATCTGGCCTGGGTGTTGCTTTCTACCTCCCACAGATGCAGTGAACAAGGCTCTGAAAAGGCCAAGTGACTTGTCACACAGCTTCAGAGTCACAAGGAGGGGCCTCCAATGTGGTCTGCTGATTCAAAGGCAATACTAGTCCCAGGATTCCATCATTATCACTAGAGCACTGATGATGATTCACGGGGTAGGAGAGGCAGTGGGCAGACTCAGTTGGCTCAGACGCTCAAGAATTGGACAGATCAGCATCTCCTGTGGTGGATGGCCCTTTGGGGGCTCTGTGGCCAAGACCCTGGCCTGGCTCACTTTTCCCTCTCTGACACTATATTACAATGCAGCCTCTTCTACTGCCTAAAGAGATGGTATTTGGGAGAATCCTTATAGGGTGCAGATGGAGACAGAAATCTTTTGTAATGTCTAAAATTGGGCACATTTCAATTTTGTGCAGTCTAATTCCAAGTTCCCTTGTGGAATGAGAAACCTTCCCTCACCACTGCCAGTCTGGCTCTCATCTCTTTCCCCCCAGAAAGGGCCAAAGTCCTCCACAGAACTCCTTGCCTGCTGCCTTCTCCTCAAAATATACTTCACATACAGGTCACAGACATCAACATAAAATACCATACCTTTACCACACTTTTTTTTTTTTTTTTTCTTTTTGAGACATGGTCTCACTATGCAGTTCAGGCTGACCTTGGGCTCACTTTGTAGCTCAGGCTCTTCATTAACTTGCAACGATCCTCCTGCCTCAGCCTCCCAAGTGCTGGGATTACAGGAATGTGCCACCACACCTGGTTTACCATACTTCTTTAAGTATGTTCTCAATTAATAAAATGTTTCTATAAGTAGAGAGGAATTTTCACAAGGCCTGTCTCTTGTCTTCCTCTTAACCAAACCAGGTGAGGGAATGGTGTTCGTGACTATGGAATTAAGTACATCAACATAAAAGGGACTCAAGCTATGACTTCCAATTCATCAGCATAGTGATCCTGCCAACTGTGCTCCTCAGTTCTGTTCCAGAATTAGCAAACATAACAGCTAGGTGTAGTGGTGCATGTCCATAACCCCAGCCTTTGGGAGGCTGAGGCAGAAGGACTGCCATGAGTTCAATGCCAATCTGAATTAGAGCCTGTCTCAAACAAAGAAAATACACACCAGGCAAACCAGCAGGTACAAACTGGTCAGGCTTACACTGTACGAAAAACTAAGACAGCATGCAAACAGATAACTCTAGATTATTGCCAACACAATCTGCTGCAGCAAATGGCCTTTGGGACATATTTCATTCTCACCTTCAAAATAATTTTGTTCTCTGAAGTATTCTTCACATGCCATGTTTCTGCTTTTAGGGTGATTCTACAACTACGGGTAGCTGTTTTTAAGTCACTATAAAAGCAGATGTTAAAAGTCTTTCTTACTTCCACACACAGCTATCCTACAGGAAAATCTCCCAACTCCTTCAGCTTTTCAAGGTGGAGACAGACAGACTTTCAAACATCCAGGGCCCGTGTTGATTAAAATTCAGAATTCTAACCACTACAGTTAATGATATACATTGCTACAGTAATTTGTGAACTATACATTCTCTGTAATGGTCTGCAAGCATACACTATAAAATTCCTTCAACTTCTGTACACTTAAAAAATTTTCCTAATTAAATGTGGGTGTGGGAGGATCTTCTAAAATGGTGACTGAAAATACATTTCACATTAAAAGTAAGGGCTGACACCTCCTCACCCCCAACTCTGGTCAGCTCTAAGGAAACAAAGTACCAAGGAGAATAAGCAGTTCTTATTTGTCTAGGCATGGTCCTGCTCACATCAGGCCCCAGAATACATACAAAACTGATTATAAATGCTACCGAATGCCCTCTCCCCAGGGCCCTTGATTCTCACTTTGAGACAGAGGTTCTTAGCCCCAAGTGTATCTGAGAATATCTAGGGAGCTTATTAAATACAGATTCCTGAGCTGCAGTCTGTGACTACCAAGTCAGAGCCTGACAGGTGGCGGTGAGCCCTAGAGTCCACCCTTTTAACGAGGGCCCCAGGTCGCTCTGACCCAGAGGATCCAAGGCCACTCACTGCATCTTCCCTGACACCTGTTGAGAGGCCCCTAGGAACCCACCTTCCCCGGCGTCCTGCATGGCGTAAGATGTGGTCAGTCCGCAGCCTCTCCAACAGGCCTGCGGGAGCGCGGCGCAGAGCCACGTCCAGATCGGCACGATACTGAGAGCTGCACGGGGAAGGGAGTGTGACGAGCTCCTTTGGGACTGCCAAGGTCACTTGCAGGGCCACCAGCGACCCTCCCTCCCACCCCGCGTCCGCCCTTCCTCTCTCATTTCCTGTGGAAAAATGACACAACCTTCCCTTACATAAAACTTGTAAAGGCATAAGAGGCACCAAGCTTGAGGCTGGGCCTCCGGGACCGTAACCCTGTGACTCAAGACCCCCAGGCTGGGAAGCTGTTTCCGCAGCCCCGCAGTCACTGCCACACTAAAGCCCTGGGCTACACTGGGTCCAGCAGCATCTCGGTGGGGGACGGACCCGCCACGCCGCCCCGGCCCTCTTTACCTCCGAAGCCGGGTACTCCAGGTCTACCCTCAGGACTTAAGAGAGGGGCCTGGGTCCTGCCTCGAGCTCTGAAGAGACCTCTCAACCCGGGGGTTCCGCGCGCACTGCTCCCAAAGGCGCTGGGACTTGTAGTTCGCCCGCGTGCCCGAAGGTCGCTCGGATTCGTAGTCGGCCAGTTCGCCTTCGGCGAGCCCAGAGGCAAGGGGCCTACAGGAACCAGCATGCACCGCGCGGCGCCGCGGGCGGGGGCGGGGCCCCGCGGCTGAGGTCATTCCCTACCTGAGGGGCGCGAGGCCCAGCCCCCTCTGATGGGAGTGTAGGTTGGGATTCCCACGGGAAGACATCCCCAAGTAGGCAGAGGCGACTCACCGTCCCGCAACCCTTCAGCGGCGACGAGCGCAGCAGCTGGAGCGGCTGCCTCAGCAGCTGGCTGTCTCGCTCCGTCAGACGAGGCGGTAAGCTTGGAGAAAGGCCCAGGACCCTGGCGTCGCGGCGAGGAGGCGTGGTCTCGTGTGACACGTGACGGGCCTGGGTGACGTCGCCCGGGGCTGAGTCTCCTTGCAAGCTGGGCGCTTGAGAGGACTCGGGGCGTATTTGCCTTGAGGGGAAGGCTAGAGAGTCTTCCTGTGAGGACTCCTTTCTCATGCCCCTGCTGGGAGTTAGGCGGGGGTCCCACGAACGCGCGCCTTCCTGCCCCTGGGTAGCCTTTTTCTACAACTGTTATTGGGAGATTAGAAGCCGCGCATAAAATTAGGAACTAGCCGCTAGCCGTGGTGGCGCACCCCTGTAATACCAGCACTCGGGAGGCTGAGACTGGAGAATCTCCACCAGTTCAAGGCCAACCTGAAAAGATAGCAAGACCCTGCCCCCAAAAACAAAACAAAAAGCCATAGAGTACCCAATGGCTACCACTTTGCTTAAAGTTTCCACCCCAACAGATAATACACAGTATAAATACATCACAAAATGTGCAACGACAAAATACTCAGGGGCCATAAAGAAAAGCAACAAGATGCCCTAGCAGGAAATTATGGGATGATGCCTGCATTAGAATAAACTGAGGCGCGACTAGGGCCACGAAGTCAGGCAAGTTGAAGCAATAAACAAAATTTATTCCAGGCTGGGTGCAGGCAAGCCAAGGGCATTAAGACCATTGGCCCCAGTGACAGGCGAAGGTGGGAATTATAGGGGTGTTTAGATGCGGGGGTGGGGTATGGCAGTTTTAGTTTGAGTCTGGGGAAGTTGAGAGTCTTGGTAACATCTATGTCTTGTAGAGTAGCTGCCTAGGGCAGTTGCTTATTCATCTCCTTTTGCAAGTTCTGAGTTCCTGTTATCTCTGTGCCTCTGCAACTAGTTAGCGGCTCTGCTTGGGGAGTTTTTTTTCTGCTGCCTAGGTAGGGATCTGATATTCCTACCTTTTTATTATAAAAAAAGGGGGGGGCTAGGGATTTAGCTCTGTGGCATAAGCGCCTGCCTTGCAAGCGCGCGGTTGTGAGTTCAATCCCGGTAGCAAAAAAAAAAAAAAGGTGTGTGTGGGAGGAATAAGGGAGAAAATAAAGGTCAAGTGAAGTTTCTCATAACTGTTTCCCGTGTGCCACAGGGGCAGAGTAAACAGCCCGCTTGGAAAAACATCAAAAAAGAAAAAAAAAAGAGGTTGGTGTTGGACTCTTGGGAGTGCTGTGTTTTGAGAGGTTATTAAGAATTTTCCTACTGGGCTCAGCAACACAGTGCATGCCTGGCAAGTATGAGGTCGTGAGTTTGATTCCCAGTACCAAAAAAAAAAAAAAAAAATTGCTGTCATGGCTTGAATTTGGTTTTGAATAAAGTTGGTTACAGTTTTTATGAGGCAGGGCCCAAAGAGGAGGATTATAATAATTTTGCCTATGGGGCCTAAGATTGGCATAAGCCATGTAGTTCAAGTACTTCAGGAAAATGGCCAGAAATTAGACTGATAGTTTTAAAGTCTTTTTTTGGGAATGGAAGTGTGTTATAGGGCTGCTTAATTAGTTATTTTTTTGAGACAGGGTCTCACTATGTAGCCTAGGCTGGCGTGTAATTTTTGGGTGTTCCTCCTTCCTCAGCTTCTTAAGTACTGGGATTATAGGGGTGCACCACCATGCCTGGCTTGAGTTTTTGTTTTTAACAAAGGACAAGACAGCTTTCGGGCTTTGGTGTCCCATAGAAACCAAATCTTTCCATGATTAGTGAGGCTTTTGCTGGTTTTTATTATACCGTATGTCAGGGTTATAGCTGAAGTTAACCAGAGCCCAGAACCTAAGAGGAGCTGGGACACTTCAGGTGCCTGAGTTGAAAGGAGACAGACCCAACAATCCCTGGTCAGGATAAGTTTGCCTCCTGTAATACGGTTAAGGTTAGGGTCCTAGTGCAATAAAGGGGAAGGAGATCTGGTTATTGCTGGTTTACTGTGTAAGGGGAGTAGGGAAGGTAGTATTAGGCTCTGAGTGATGGGCATGGTGACAGGGGTTATATCTGAGGGCACACAGTGAGACAAGGATGAGCCCCACCAGAATGAGGTAGGTTAGGGCAAAAAGGGCCTTTTGCAGGGTGGTCCAGGCAGCCAGAGCAACTGATGCTAGGCTTACAGCAGGATTTGCAGGTAGCAGGAAAGGGAGATAGCCGTACATGTGGAGAAGTTAAGCTAAAGGGGTAGCCTGGGAGAGAATGAGAAGAAATGTGAATAGGTGTATCTTATCTGGGGAAAAGTTACAGAGTCCCTTGGAAGAACCTCTAGACAGAGAGGTTACAAAATGAAGTGGTAAGGCAGAGGCATGAGGTAGAAAGGAAGGGAAGGGGTGTTGAGCTAGACAGATGAGCTGGGTGACAAAGAGCAGGGGAAAAAAAAGCAGGGAGCCAGTCTCATCAGCAAGATTAGGGTGCTGGAAGACAATAGACTGGATCCAAATCATTTTGGGCCTTGAAGGCTGTTTACTCTAAGGAGTTTGGATTTTATTATAACCGGAACCTGAAGCCTTTGAAGAGCTTTAAGCAGTTTAGTTCTAGACAGTTTTCATTATTCATAGATTTAATATTCACAGATTTGCCTGCTCACTAGCGTTCATCTTCAATCTCCAAATCAACACTTGAGGCATTTTTTCATTCATGTGTGGGCATACCATTCTGCATGTTCTCACGGGGGCTTAGTAAGGGCACTCTCTGGCTACAGGTGTTCTTTTGGAGTATATTTAGTGCCATGTTTTCTTATTGTTGGTGGTGATTTTGCTATTTAAAATAGCTCCAAATGTAGGGTTGAAATGCTGTCTAAGATTACTAAATGCAAGAAGGTTATAACATACCTCAGTGAGAAAATGTACTAGATAAGCTTTGTTCAGGCCTGTCCTTGAGCCAGCTACACTAAATCACCAACATATATATATATGGAAATACTTGAAAAAGATATGTATTCAGGGATGACAAAAATATTGTGATTTGAGGCTTATAGGGACTTAATATAATATTTCTCCTGGAAGCAGGAATTCGATATTCACTCATTCAGTATTTGTGGAAGCTTTATGAGATATAAGTAACTCAAACAATGGGTCTCTATACAAGGTGTTATAAAAAAACTAGAGTGGATGTTTAAAGTTTTAAAATATTTATTGCTGGGGGCTGGGGATTTAGCTCAGCGGCATAAGCACCTGCCTTGCAAGCAGGTAGTCGTGAGTTCAATCCCTGGTACCGATAAAAAGGAAAAAGACCAAAAAAAAAATTTATTGCAGTAGAAGACAGATTGCCATTAATTCACCTCAAAATATATCCCTTTGCTTCAAACACTCTTATCTCTTAGGATTGCCTAGAGGCCAGCCTGGGCTACATAGTGAATTCAAGGCCAACATAATAAGACCGTGTCTCGAAATAAAGATGGTAGCTAATGTGCTTTGAGACTTCATGGGAATGAGGACCTAGACAAGGCTTCAGAGAAAAGATAGACATATAAGTGGGGACTTTATGTGCAGGAGTACCCCATGTGAAAGAAGTGGCAAAAGCACTCCAGGCATGAGAGCTACTTACGTCAAGTCACAGAGAAATGAAATACAGTGTCTCTAGAGAAATGCAAGCAGTTCTATGTGGCTGGATTTCAGAGTGTGAATGCATAACAGACTTCTTATGGAACTTAGAATTTATCCTACACAATAGGTAATATAATGGGGAAAATTAAGAGTTTTGAGCTGAGTGATATGACTAAATTGTGTTTTTGACAACTCATTATGGCAATGTGGAAGGGGTAGAATTTGCGGTTCGAAGGTCCCTTGGGAAGGGAAAAGGATTAAAGTGGACTCAGAGGAAAGACCCATGGAAACTAACAAAGAGGGTCAGAGGAAGGAGATCAGAACGTGGACAAAGGTGGCAAGAATGTCCCACACAGTGGGGGTCAAGTAAAATACCACATGCAGACTAACTTACAATGCCAAACACCATGTAAAAATTTGCTAACGCTGTATAACACACTGAGTATCAGGGGGGTTCAAGAGCCAATGAGAGCCTAAAGTTTAGTTTAAAAACTGGGTGGCATTGTTCAAATATTTTAAAAACATTTTTTTCAAATATTAAAAAATTTTAACTACAAAAAGAAGATAGGCTGAAGCAGAAAGATAACTTCAAGTTCAAGGCCAGCCTGGGCTACATAGTGAGTTCAAGGCAAGCCTGAACTACAGGTAGTGAGACCCTGTCTCCAAAAAGCCAAAACCAAAACAAAACAGAAAGGAATTAGATGTAGCATGAGTTTTACAGGACTTTTCTGAGCATGGAATGGCTTAGTGCATTGAAGTTACTTCTCATGGCACCTGGCATATACCTAGCACTCAATACAAATAATGGTTGTGGTTCTCCTGTGAATACTCTGGACCCTAGTTCCTTTGTCTATAAAACAGAATTGTCACCTTTCTCCTGCTGGTAACAGGAATAAAGTTAAATATAGTCACTAGTCAACTGAGCAATTCCACTCCTAGGAATGTGTTTGAGAGCATTGAGAACGTTGTCTACTAAAATACGGCACAAGTGTTTATATCATGAATGTTCATGTTTGTGATAGATGAAAAGTGGGAGCAACTGACAGACTCTCCTTGACCATATTTTGATCAGATTCCTCTGAATTCTCTTCCCAACTAAACCTTGACTTTTGAACTTCTTGCTCTCTTTACGTTACCCAGTTTTAGCAACCATCCTGTTTAAGTAAACCCCC